GAGAGAGAGAGAGAGAGAGAGAGAGAGAGAGAGAGATGAGCGATCCAAGATTGGTTGTCACTTACCTGTGAGGCGAGTTGTGTAGCCCGGTGGAGAAGGAAGAGAGCGGCCATAGCCGCGGAGTATCGACACAGGGTGCTGAAGGAGAGAGACAGGGAGGACAGAGAAGGAGGGACTAAGGAGAGAGAGAAAGGGAAGTTTGGAAGGAGGACGTTGGAGAAGAAGACAGACATAGCCGGGGGTGAACAAAAAAAATAAAATAAAAATAAAAATAAATACAGAGAAAGTGAAGAAGAAGAGTGAAGGAAGGGGAAGTAAGCGGCGAGGGTGACGAAGGTGAAGGTGCCAGCAGCCATAGCCGAGGTGAAGGGTTGACCAGGCGTTGACCAAAGCGTTGACCAGAGGGTTGACCAAGGGCTGACCAGGCGTTGACCGAGGGTGTTGACCAAGCGTTGATTGGGGGTTGCCCGCGTTGACTCAGCGCTGACCAAGGCGTTGACCGGAGCTGCTGACCAAGATTTTGACCAAGCTGGAGCTGGTGATATCTCGCTGAGCCCTTAGCCTATCCCCTTACCCTGTGGATGTGCACTCACCCTACGGTACTTGCTGATTTTGAGTCTGTCTGTCTTTCCTTTCTGCATTGAGTTTCTTCTGTCCTAGGTGATAGGACTCTGTGGATGAAGGATAGGGCCTTGCTGCCAAACCTGCACGGGACTTAGTAGGACTAATCTCTACTCTGGCATCTGGAGACCTGGGCATGAGCGGCGAGCGCTCGTTAAACAACTCGTCTAGCCCAATGACCGGTACTGTCCGACAGGTCTACTGAGTTCAGTGTAGAGGGTCTGAACTCCGAGCTGTAGGCTGAAACGAAGGCCGTCTTTAAGTGTTGAGGCCTGGTTGAACCACTCCCCTACCGGACCCAGTAAGGCTGATGATCTGTGTCTGACGACTCGACTGACCCGAGGGACACGAACCCCTCCAAGTACCGGTACCGACCGGCGGGCTGCTCGGTGTGGCACAGTAGGCCGGAACGGCTGAGCTGTGGGCTGAAATCGCCAGGAAGAACTACGCTGATCACGTCGTCCTGATTGCGACGTTAAAGAATTCTTGCGGAGTTTGGGGGATCTCCTTAAATGCCTCCTGATCAGCTGTTAGTTCGGTAGTGACAACCTTAAAGTAGTTGTGAGTAGTGGATCTTAGAGAGTCAGTCAGTAGGTCAGTGTGTCCGGGTAGGTCTAAGTGGTGAGGAGTGGGACATTGTCGTGCACCTGACACCACGATGGATGACTATCCGATGTATGGGTTGCTGGTTGGGTTCTCTCTCTGGGGGACCCTCTGGCGTCTCCTCTTTCCTCTGGGGTTCTGGCACACCTTTACGTGTAGAGTAGATACCCGGGGTGGTGCCTCCACCAAGCCATACACGAAGGAGGAGGAGGAGAAGATGGTCGCCATTCTGCAAGAGAGGAAGGAGAAGAAGGAATCTAAGAAGAAGGCCTTGAAGGAGGAGTAGGCGGCCAAATTGAAGAAGATAGAAGAAGAGATGGCCAAAGAGAAGGAGAGGATACAGAGAGAAGAAAAAGAGAAGTTGAAAGAGGTGGAAGAGGAGGAAGAAGATTAAACACCACTGCAGAGGAAGAGGGGGCAGTACAGTGGCGGTAGGGATGAGGAGATGGAGAAGCGGATCTCAGAGTGGGTCGCCAACTTATCCCTGGGCGAAGAAGAAGAGGTGGCGATGTATATCTCTAAGGACGATCAGGAAGCCGCTATGAGAGCTTGGGAAGCAGAAAAAGATGTTGTGAAGCGGCATGCAATGGAAGATGAGAAGAGAATGGAATGGAGGTTGGCAGTGATGAGGGAGAAGAAGAGGAGAGTGGACGCGGCAGCGGAGGCGGCAGAAGAATTAGAGGAGGTAAAAAAGATAGAAGAGCAACTAGCCGCCCAGACTGAACTCCCAGCCCAAATGTGAGTCATAGCTCGAAATGTTGCACGCCTGGCACGAATTCAAGCGGAGCAATAGAGTCAACACATAGCTGTGCGTTCAATAAAGTTGGGATTCCGGGACTTTGCTCGAGAGTTGGTAGGCGCTATAGGCACTGAGGTGGGCCACCGCCTCGATAAGACTGAGGGGTTCTGCGCTGGCGCCATTGAGGGCGTGAAGGCGACCGCCCCCAAGGAGGAGGAAGCACGTCCTCCTCGCCGGGAACCGGTCAAGGTCAAATTCCCTGATTCCTACAGTGGGAAAAGGGAAGAGAAATTTGACAACTGGGAAGCCAACGTTAAGACCTATGTGCACTTGCAACAGGTCTCCCCGGATCAGCAGGTTCTAATTGCGATCCACGCGTTGAGAGATGAAGCCGCCAATTTTGCAAGGTCTCTAGTTCGCGCTGCCAACTGTAGTGACGATCCCGTTGCGTACTCCTCGTTCACGTCCCTCACCGAATTCCTGAAATTGTTGCACGAGCGATTTGCTGATGTCGCTCGCAGTGTTAAGGCCTCAAACAAGCTCCAGACCATCCACGCTCGTAAATGGAAGAGTGCCAGGGCGCTCAAGGGCACGATGGATGAATTGGTGGTCGTCCCTGACCATGGGGTCACAGAGGCCCAATTGGTCAATCTCTTCTATCGGGCTATGCCCGAAGCCTTTCGAGGGCAGTTCTTCGCGAAGAGCGAAGACCCTGCCACCACTTACGATTCCCTTAGTCGTGAGGTGGTGGCTTTTGAAGCTAAGTCTGTGTCCCTGTCTACCTTCTGGCACAAGGACTTAGACAAAGGGAAACAATGGAAAGGCCGCACTATCTCAGGGCAGGTAAAGACCAAGGACAACCTTGTCCTGACCTTAGATGAGGGTAGTGTGGATGAGATCCCCTACGAACAGATCGAGTGGGGGTTAAAGGAAGAGGACAGCGGTGTGGGTCAGGGGAGGACTTACGCTGTTGTCGCGGCTGGAGGGAGGCCGCAAGGAGGACGAGGCCAGGGCCAAGGGGGTCGGGCCTCAGGGAGCCGGTTTCAGTGCGATCAGGGGGTTGGCGGCAGAGGAGGAAACCGCCAAGCGGGAGGCAGGGGTCAAGGTCCCTCGCAAAATCGTCCTAGGAATAGGTCTCCCTATAGGGTAGGAGGATGGCACCCGGGGCTACCACAGGGTAGGCCTTGGGAAACTTTGGGTCTGGACCAGACTTCATGGCAACAACGATTGGACCGGGGCCAGTGCATTTTTTGCGGTGACCCGGGCCATATCATTAAATACTGTCCTAAGTATTGCGAGACCCGAACGGCTGCCCAATGACCAAAAGGCAGCTGCCGGTAGGGGTAGCAACTGCCCCTACCATCAGGCCATGTGGGGAACATAGCGCTAGCCGGCAGGAGACTCCCACACCACATGTGCCTATGGTAGAGGTTGCAGGCCGGTGTCTAGATAGCTGGCCAGAGACCGCTTGTATTAGGGTCTCTCTAGACACCTCCCTCACAGGCGTAGCCGAAGAGTTGAAGGAGAGGAGGCCCGCCTGGGCCAAGATGAAGAAGGAGAATAAAGGGCAGCTGATCTTACTAGATACAAAGATTTTTAGAGGTAGAATAGGGGCCCTAGTAGACTCAGGGGCCACCCGCAGCTATATTAGTAAGAAAGCGCTGCAGAAGTTGAGGTTGGGACTTAAAGTCCAGAAATTGACAGGCCCCATAGTTAGTATCCTCGCCGACAATCGTACCATGGTTGTAGAGGATTACGTAGAGGGAGTCCAGGCGTATTTTCGCCTAGAGAAAGATGGGAAAGTGGAGAAGGTCCTCCACTCCCTGACTCTTCTCATAGAAGACAGCCTCCCATTTGATATTGTTCTGGGAATGGATTGGGGAGAGGAAGCTGGGGCCACGCTCCATTTGAAGGAGCACGAGTGTAGGCTCCCTAGTTCTTCAGGCGAGGCCAAAATTGCCCGCCTGTTCCATGTGTCAGGAGTAGAGAATCCCTTGGCACATTGCTGTCTTAGTGCTCCTGCGTTCGCCAGGTTGCTGAAAAAGGAGAAATTGGAGGAACAGGTTTTTGTTGCCTGTGTTAGGCCGGTGATTGAGCCTACGGAAGAAAAGTCGATGGACCCTGCGATTGCCAAGCTGCTGGAAGAATTCAAGGATCTAACTGAGCCGCCGATAGGAGTGGTACCGCGGCCCATCCAGCATCGCATTGAGATAGAGCCTGGCAGTAGAACTCCTAAGGGCGCTGTGTATAGGATTTCCCCACGGGAGTTAGAGGAGCTTCGCAAGCAATTAGACGAGCTCCTCGAGAAGGGTTGGATTAGGCCCAGTTCGTCTCCTTTCGGAGCGCCTGTTCTCTTTGTTCCTAAGAAAAAGGGAGAGCTGAGGATGTGCATAGACTATAGGGGTCTGAATGCTATTACAGTAAAGAATGCTGAGCCACTGCCTTGGATAAACGATCTCTTAGATCGAGTGCAGGGGGCAAAGTATTTTTCCAAGATAGATTTGAAGTCCGGATATCATCAGATGGAAGTGCATCCTGATGATCAGTATAAGACAGCCGTCCGGACTAGATATGGGCACCACGAGTTCATAGTAATGCCCTTTGGACTAACCAATGCGCCAGCTACATTCCAGCGCTGTATGAACGATTTGTTTAGGCCGTGGTTAGACATATTTGTTGTAGTTTACCTAAATGACATTCTAGTGTTTAGCATGACCCTCGAAGAGCATCAGGGTCATCTCAGGCAGGTCTTGGAGAAGCTGAGGGAAGCTAACTTCAAGATCAATGCAAAGAAGTGCGATTGGGCGAAAACCCAAGTTTTGTACTTGGGCCACGCCTTAGACGGAGACGGCGTTAAGCCAGAGGATAGCAAGATCGCAGCGATTAGAGATTGGCCCACGCCTCGTACGCTGACAGAGTTGCGTTCGTTCCTGGGCTTAGCTAATTACTACCGGAAGTTCGTGAGGAACTTCTCCACCATCGTTGCGCCCCTTCGCAGATTGTTGAGAAAGGAGACCATCTGGAAGTGGGATAAGGACTGCACGTCTGCCATGAAGAAGTTAAAACAGGCATTGAGAGAGTATCCAGTCCTTAAAGTGGCTGATCCGTCCTTGCCATTTGTCGTCACGACCGATGCGAGTCAATACGGCATAGGCGCAGTGTTACAGCAAGACGATGGCAATGGGTATAGACCCGTAGAGTTCATGTCCACCAGAATGCCTTCAGAGAAGGTCGCGACATCTAACTATGAGAGGGAACTCTACGCTCTCAGGCAAGCSTTAGACCACTGGAAGCACTACTTGCTTGGGAGGCACTTCAAAGTCTATTCYGACCATGAAACGTTACGATGGTTAAAGACGCAGGCCAAGATGACACCTAAGCTTACTAGGTGGGCTGCAGAGATAGATCAGTACGACTTTGAGCTCAAGCCTGTCAAAGGGAAGTACAACGTAGTTGCGGACGCTCTGAGTAGGAGGGCATATTACTTTGGGGCGATAGTGCATTATCTCGACATAGGGAAGGACCTGCAGCAGAAGGTCAGAGAGGCCTACGCGCAGGACCCTATCTATAGTGACCTCCTTAAGAAAGTCAAAGAGGCCCCAGAGACTGAGCCAAACTACCGCACTACTGAAGGGTTGCTCTTCGAGAAGACCAATGTATTTGACCGCCTGTGCATCCCCAGTAGTGAAGAGATTCGTAGAATGATTTTGGGGGAATGCCACGACACAGAGGGTAATTTTGGTTGGCAAAAGACTTTAGCCAATCTGATGCGCGCGTATACCTGGCCGGGAATGAAGAATGACTGCGTAGAGTATGTTCGTAGTTGTAAGGTTTGCCAGCGTAACAAGAGTAGCACGCGAGTGCCGTTAGGTCTTCTCAGACACTTGCCCATTCCAGACCAGCCAGGAGACTCAGTGTCCATAGACTTCATGGACACTGAAGTCAAGAGCAGGCATGGCAAGAGCCAAGTCATGGTCGTAGTCGACCGTTTTAGTAAGTACGCAGTTTTTATCCTTTTGCCTTCAGAGACACGCACTGATTTAGTCATACAGAGTTTTTTTGACTGTTGGGTGAGTGAGAATGGAATCCCACTGTCTATAGTTAGTGTTACATGCTGAAAGCCTACACACGGGCCCCTCACGGGACCCGAGGTTGGAATAGGGCCCCCAGGTCGCGTCACCGCAACCTGAAGGCCCTATGGCATTTTTACTTGGGCCTGCATCAGAAAAACGCCAGCTTTAGATTATTTTATATTCTTTTATTTATTTA